ATCTCAAAAACACTTACAGGCATCAGCCCTCCTGTTTTCTTTGGCCCCATAAGGGCTCTTAGCAAAGCTGCACCTGTTTTTGTTTGCTCAGCTCCATGATGAATTGTTTGTCTTTATTTTTGTTTTGTTTTTGGTGCAGTAAATACACACTGTTTAATCAGAGGGGAATAAAAGAACATCAGATTACGGTACAAACAGAGCCATCGGTAAACAGGGATTAGGGGATTGGGTGTTCTAATCTGATTAATATGGCAGCATCTGGAATTTTAGAGATGTTACTCAATGGTGGGACTCTGGATGAGAAGATAATCACACTTTATTACGTCATTTATTGTCCTCAGTTAGAAGTTTTAGAGCCGAATAAACCACCATATGTTTACTGGACCTTTAGTGAGATTAAAAACATTTCCTGAGTGACAGATTTGGAGCACTTGGAAAACATTGTAAATATAGAGCTCCACCAGTAAGTTAGCTAGGGATGAGAATTCCCTGGTTTTCTTTTAATCAGCTCTGATTAAAGATGGGGATGTAAAATCTGAAAATTGGACAAGCTCAGTTAAGCAGAATGTACTTTTAAATATGCACAAAAGCTAAAGATTTGTGTAATTTGGTATTCTAGTTTTTTTTAGCTACGTAAACAAGCAGAAAAAAGACATTTGTACAAATTTCATCTAAATGGAATTAAAATGGATCACAACGGTTAGGGGTGGGAGAATGAAGCTTGGAGTACGACTCGTTAATAATTATCATCACACAACTCTCTGATTTGGTATGGGTTCAAAAACTATCACAGGTCTTAAAGTATTGGTTTTAAAGTAAATGCAATCATCCTTAAAATATGTAGCTTTAAGCTTTTACAATATTTTGGCTCCTTTTTCTTTGAACAGTAATTGTGATATGGGAAAATTTTATCTGGGGCGTCAAATTTATTGTCCTGCTGAAGGTTAAAACACCTAAAAATTCCCCAAAAGTCCACTTTGAAGCCAATCTGTTCATAATGAAAGAGCTATGACCTTCATTGCAAAGGTGAGGGGTTTAACTATATGATAAAGGCCTTTGTTTTAGTTCGACCCCCTCAGATGCAGATTTATTAGCATACATCTTGTGTGCACAACAACAAGGCAGAGCAATACAGGGCTATGAGTGGCCTGACAACAATGAATTACCACCCAGAGGTTGATTTGGTACCTCAGCCAGTGCAGCACATACAGTATATCTACTGTATGACACAGCGCAGATGAATCCACTGCCGTGGTTTTGCTTGTTACTGATAGGATATTCAATTCCCCCACTTTATGTATATTTTGACTTTAATGTTCATCTTCCTTTGCATATATGGCGACTCTATTATGAAGGGGACACCCTGCTCAAATGTGATATGGTAAATTGGACGTTTTCTTGTTTATTAAGTTGGTGCTCTTTTACTCTTTATCTTCTATTTTTATTCATGGGGCTTGTTTCCTTGTTTAAAGTGCCTTAGAGACAATTTAATTTTTATTAGACTTACGATCCAGAGCAGTGTTTTTATTCTATATAAGTAGGCGTTGTACGAAAAAAACAAAAGTGTAAATTTTACTTCTGGCAAGACCAGCTTGCAACATGTGAAGGACACTTATGCGGATATCCAAAGCAACAAACTATAACAGGCTGTTTGATACGGAATGTCTCACTTTGTTCAGGTAGATCTAAAGTTGATTGCACCTTTACACATGTTTTGCTTTGCTGTTAAAGGCTGGGGTTTGTTTTTCTACACATTTGGCTCTTTCTACCCCCTGGGGAATTTCTTCCCTGTGGCCTAATGTGAATATTAGTATGGGTTAACTGCTTTACTCATTTGTGCATCAATGCATATTGCATAATTAATGTTTTTTGTGAAGTCTCAGTTTCCGCACAGCAGGAAGGACGAATGAAACAGTAAACATGTTGGTGAGGTCCTGCAACAGGAGTTTCTGCTCGTTTCTGCTCTTGATTAAAAAGAACCTTCTGGTGTGGATTTGAAGTATTCAAGACTGATAGGATTAAGGGGCACCTTGCTATTTTCCTTGAAACCTCTAATTTAGATTGGAGATTTGTTGGAGACAAATTGTCTACCTCAATAAAATGCCTCCTGTTTTTTACATCTGCAAGATGTTCATTTGAAATCTCATGCCTAAAAGTTTCCAAAATTTATAATATGAAAAAAATAATAGCCAAGTTATAAGTTATACACTTTTACGTAGCGATCAGAAGAACAACACAATGTTTCTTGTCTACGATCCCCTTATGTATGCATATTAAAGTGCAAAGTTATTCATAACCCTGGCGGATTTATGGTTAAAGGAATCTTGTAATTTTACAAAAAATTTTCTGCTTTCTTAAGGTAGTAATATATATTTTTTTTTTTCTGTTGCTCAACTAGAATCTCATATTTAATCTGTGAAAGAAACCAAATCTTGGGGTGATGGTAAAGAGGCTCATTACCAGAGATAAGTGGGCAAATTTCAATGGAAACACAAAACATTGCGGATTGAACATTGTGGTGCCCATAAATATTCCCAAACGTTATTGAGGTGGCTGTACATAAAAACAGCATTTACCTTTATGCCTCCACTTATTTGGAATAAATTCCCAGAAAAACGTCAAGATGCTGAAACCCTCAGTTGCTTTGAATTAAGATTAAAATGCAGTTGTTTAGATGACTGTGCTAACATTGCTTGTTATATTTACAGTCCGTTTCTTTCATTTTCTTATCATTACATTAATATTTCTTTACCGTTATGCAACCATAACATACTTTTCTTTTTTTTTTCTTCATTTACAGAACTTTGAATTGACTTGCTACTGAAACATGCTATATAAAAACACACATGCCTTCTTTTACCTTCCTTATATATAATTACTTGACATTTATTTGTTTCCAATAAAATACAATCCCAAATAAATACCTTCTTTTAAGCTAAGTATTATTGACTAAAGTTTAATATCTAAATGTAGCAATTTGAACTTTTTATCATTCACCAAACATGTTTTACTGCTTTTGATATTGAATGGCTCATTTTTCAAGAGATTGGATGGATGGATGGATGGATGGATGGATGGATGGATGGATGGATGGATGGATGGATGGATGGATGGATGGATGGATGGATGGATGGATGGATGGATGGATGGATGGATGGATGGATGGAGTGCTGGTTGTTGGGATGACCTGCACAATGCTGTGCATAACAAGACACACATCTTCGCATCATTTGAAATTTAGAAGCAAGACATCCTTTTTTGTCACTTAAACTATTTGCATTTTGCTAAAAAGAAAAAACAGATAATTCTAAGCTTTTTATGTAGAATTTGGAAAAATTTGCTCACAGTGATTTGGAAAAAACCAAACATTTTACTCAAACAACCATTAATTACTCAAACATAGTTGTAAAGCTGAAGACATGGTGAAATTTACAGAGTTTCTAAATCTAGGCCTTGCCATACCCATTTTACCTAAGCTCATGCCCCATATACAGTATAGCTCTGGTGAAGTTCCCAATCAAAATTCAACAAATTAAACAAAACAAAGATCTGCTTTAAAAACATCTCACAGCGTTAAAGAAAAATATAAGGGGATAAGGAGACTAAAGAGTTATACACAGTACAGTCTTTATGGAATAAAAGCCAGATGTATTAAAATTATTGCCATAAAGGTTTAGAACACACCATTAAAACATGCATATTTATGAAGAGACTTTGAAGATGTAAAGTGGCCAAATATTTTAACTCAAAAAGGGATTATGGTTTTATAAGACTGTTAAAGTGAAGAATTGTTCATAAAAGCTGAACTTAGTAAAGCTGTCCCCTGTTTTTTTAGACATCTTCCCCTTTAAACTACCAACAAACTTTTATTACCAAACCAAATAAATAAAAATCCTTATCTTTGAAAAGAATAACATTCAAACACATAAATTATTCATATCTTTGTGTTGTTAACCTTACACTGTGTTGTGAAAGTTTGTGCTGGAGCATTATGCAGGATGTCACTTTAAAGTTAGTGTTTTTGAACAGTGGAGCAACTTAGGTTTTCTAATTTCTTTATAATCATTTCGCAGTATGTCTCTGTAGTTTATTGCATTTTTTTGTAATCTATGAATGGAAGTGTGACATTATTTACATTACACATTTTTAGTAATAGTAAGCCTGTTCGTTTTACAGTGAAATAGCCCTATATTTATTTTTACAGGTTTGTAAGTAGGGCTCATTTTACAGAGAAAATTGAAAAATAGTTTGTATTAATTAGGTGTCACAGGGGCGGTACAGTATGTTATAATTTGTCCTTTGATTTAAACTGTTTAATAATCCCAACTGCAAACATTTTCATGAGCTCTATAATCAGATCACTAAGTAAGATTGTAGAATAAAAAGGGTCCAAAGTCGCTGCGGCTGCAGCTGCGCGCTCATTAAAGACAACAAACTCCGACAATGATTGAACAGCGGTTAAATTACGTGTCTTAATGAAATTGTGAGGGCGTCATCCTCTTTAAACGACGAGTTTAATTATGTGCAGGTTGGTATTACAGCATCACCTTTTTTTTTCTTCTTTTCTTTTTTTTTTTTTTTGAAATCCTATTGCGCATCATGAGGCAAATCTTTTTTAGTTGGAATAATAATGTTAATCGGATTTCCTCATTTTTTAAAAGATTGATCTGTTTCCATGTTCCCTTCAGTCATTCCCTCAGAGGATTTGGCGCAATTTCGAGCTCAAAGTAGAAATTATTGACACCTATAGAGCCAAGAAACTTCAGATAACTCAGCCTCTTCTTGCTCAGAAAGACTCATGTTCTGAATGTGTAACGCGTCAGAATCTAAATCTGTCAAGATGATGGAATAAAATGTATATATTTCTAGATAGCTGCACATGAAAATGTGTTATAAATTGCTGTAAATAAACTAAATTTAACTATGATAAGAATACAAACCAAAAGCAGCTCTCTGATTCAAGTTGCTCTGTCTGTGATAAATAACCAGATATATTCTAATGTTGTTCAAAATATTTTAATAAAGCTTTTCCACACTCAAATACATACAAACGGCCCTCTTTGCTCTGATAACAACGAAAGTATCTACAAGAATAAATTAAAGCCTGACCTGACAGCGCGAATAATCTGAACGAAAATCATGAAAAAGAGCAGAAAAAACATCCACCTCGAAATAAATATGCAATGCAAGCATAAATATCATAAATACTCCAAATTAAAAAATCACAAAGACACATTTAAACACCTTGTAGACTTAAATGTATTCTTTTACCTTCTTTTTAATTATTATTAATCGATTGAGAAAGCCATTTCAGCCAAATAGATATAGGCCAGTGGATCATTTGTTGTCTGGATTATTTAAATCCCCTCATCCGCAACATTCACTAGAAAAGTTCTTTAAAAAATGGGCCCGTGGTTTAGAAGTTAAAGTAAACACATGGAAAGCAGCAGAGTGAGGTGGGTGCTGTTGCGCTCCGGGAAAGTAAAAGTCGCGCCCGTTTGGTCAGATCATCTCCACAGAGGGTCCATCACAGAGCAAAGGCCTTTAATTCGGCTTCTGTCTGGCCTCCAGTCACACCAGCACTTTAAAGATGACTTATGTACACAATCAAGTGTTGTTTTGACAGAAAAAAACAAGCGAGTTTTAATGCGTTTAGTAAATATTATAAAAAAATTACTTTTTGTCTCTACTCGATCATCATTCATGTTTTTTTTTTTTCTTTCTTGTGTGCTTCTTTGTAGTCTTTGTTATCAGTTTTAAGGCTTGTCAGTGCACTGTTTGCAGAGGCTGGACGCGGCGTTGTTGAACAGGGCGCATTTGTCAGGGCAGGAAGACGCAGCCACCCCGGCGGGGAACGGGTATCCGGGCGCCTGATCGTATGCGCCCAGACCGGGTGGAGGAGCTGCCAGCGCAGTGGTGGCCGGTATGGAAGCCGCGGAGATGGCCTGCCCCTGGTTCAGGTACGCGACCAGTCTCCTCATCTCCTCCAGTGCCTGCGCCTGCATCAGGATGTAGTTCTTTGCCAACAGCAGGGTGGCGATTTTGGAGAGTTTACGCACAGACGGGCTGTGCGCGTAGGGGATGACCGCTCGGAGCTCATCCAGCGCGTCGTTCAGGTCGTGCATCCGCCGTCTCTCCCTGGCGTTGATGTTGAGCCGCAGCATTTTCTGCTCTTTGGTTTTCTTACCTCCTCCTTCTGCTTTCCCCCCGGCTGCTGTTCGTACATCTGTCAGGAGGACCATGTCGCACCGCCCGTCGCTGTCATCGTCGGGGCTCTGCTCTCCACCGCTGCTCTCAGCCGCCGAGGTCCTGTTGGCACTCTCCCCGTACTTAACGCACAAGGATCCGGTCGGAAGACCTAGAGTGCCGCCCCTGGTTCCAGCGAGTCCTCCGGGTTGGATCGGGTCCGGATCAACTTGATCAAAGCAGCCGATAGGGGACTGGCGGTCTCTGGGTGGCAGCTCCATGCTGGCAGAGGTTCTGAACGGGTCCATTTTTTTGCCCGACACGGCGCTGAGAGTTTTATGAAAAATGTCCCCTGCCGCGCCGCCGTTCAGGTTCATCCTCCGGTCCATAGCCTGTTGGGTTCTGGGAAATCCTGACGCCTCTCAGCGACTTTCTCCCTCTGCTTGCGCGTCAGCGGCAAAGTTTGGGGCTCCTCTTGTCAGCTGAGGTGAGGTGATGAAGAAGGGACTTGAGTAAAAAGTATCGCTCTCTCTCTTTCTGTGTCTGTGTTGGATTCACCTTCAGATCATCGTAACGAGGATGATTCGCCTATTGGGGCCGAGACAGCCGCCCTCCCCTTTTGTTCTCCACCCAATCACACTAACCTTTTAATTAACGCGGTTTAAACTGGGACGAACACAATAAGACAGAACAGTAGTTCACCCTCCAATTGTGCGTCTTTTCAATGTTTTATCCTGTGCTTTTAGACAATGTCATCGTCATGATATATTCTGCCTCAGTGTTTTCTTTTGTACTATCACTATTTATTTGTCTTAAAGGATAGATGCAGTAAAAGCTGGTTTTCATTGTTTTTCTTGATTTATTATTATTATTATTTTTGTCCAGCATAGAAACTTGTATGCTAAACTTGCATGGTAATTCACATCAGATAAATTGGCTGTGATACTCCTTTTAATAAGTATAGTTTGGAATGTCACTTTTATCAGCATTGATCTTTTTTGTCCTTATCCATAATCAATTATTTCATTTTATGCAAGTCAATTCTAAGGCGGACAGCGGTCATTTCTGGTGGCTCAGTTAATATTACCCATGCTTATGCTGCCATCTTCTGTATAAAACAGCAAATCACGTTAGTAATTTTTTATTTTTTATAACCAATCATCTTTGAAGGACAGACCTCCTGGACCGTTAATCAATACCAAAAGTGCTGATTAAGATCAGAAATAAAAACAGAGGAAAAAAATATTTATTCATATAAAAATGCTTAATTGGAGTAAAAAAAAAACAAAAAAACACAAAAATATTAAACCTTCATAATTTTCTGAGCCATAAAAAATAAAAATCTTTATATATTATATAAAAATGTTAAGGAACTTTTTAATAACTGATTTACATTAATGAGAAATCAATTTTCCCCAAAGCAGGCTCCACAAGATAATGCCATTTTTTATTTAAATAAAAAAAATTGACTGCGCCGAATACCAGTCTATCTTGGAAGAAGACTGATTTACTTAGACTTACACTTACACAAATTTTGTTTACACAGCTTTCCGACAGTAAATGAGAAGCAGCTTAGCAGTGAATATGAACTTATCCATTTATAAACTGCAGAAGTGATAAAAATGTAAACAGTGTGAAAGAGACTTGGTGCAAAAGCGCATTGATGTAAAGGGTTTGTCGCGGTGCAAAAATAAATAAATAGATGTTGTGAAAACTGCAGTAGAACCATTGAGTTGAGCTCTATTTTGAAGATTCACCATGTAGTGCAAATATGTTTACAGGTGTGATTTAGAGTCTTGTTTTGTGACTTGGTTAGAGTTTCAACAGTTCAACAGTTTTATGGCAGCGGGGAAAAAAGCTGTTGCAGAACCTGCTGGACCTACAGCAAATGCTTTGAAGTCTCTTCCCAGAGGGCAGCAGGGAGAACGGTCCATGGTGGGGGTGTGAGGGGTCGCTGATGATGTTACATTCAGAGTAGGAAGCCATTGACCTGAGAGTGAGCCAGGGGTTTATCCTCTTGCATACCGACACCCTAAACATTCACTTTTTTTTTTTTTTTTAGAATGTCTATCTGGTAAATCTTGGACATAAGCTTTATCTTTTTTATATGTTGTGGTTGTATTCTGAATCATTACAGGTTTTTAATACTTAGCTTTCCTCCTATAAAACTTTTTTTTTCTGTTCTTGTGTTTTTTAGTACCTGATATCCTCTTGGTCATTCATTCTTTTCTGAATTAGTTTTCATTGTTCTATGCTCCTCGTTCCTACTCTGTTTTAGTAGCCACTTCAGAGAGGTGAAAACTTTTAATATGATCTGCATTTGGTTCCTTTACTTCTAAAAGACATCCCATATTCAAAATCAGGGGTTAAAATTCATTTAAAATCTGGGATAAAAGAAAAACTTGTGAATATGAATCTCTTCATGGACGAAGCTAGTTGACTCTCTCCACTTTAAGTTGCTGTGTAAAGTTGGCATGCTGAACAGAAATGAACTTTTCTGACATTTATTTATGAACCAATCTAAAATCACATACTTTTCTTTTCTACTGGCATACTGGAATACATTTGTGGTCATAACATGCCTACTTGCCCTTTAAACATTTTGACATGTTGACCACCTGGTATTTTCAGGTCATAATTATCCATTCTTTGAACTGCATAAAGACGGCATGCGCAGCATTACCAAAGGACAAGCTGTTATATTAAGGGCAAGCTGGAATGGACCTCCACATTAGCAGACTACTTACCTTGGGGCTCAATAGGATGAAGGTTCTACACTGTTTCCAATCAAATAAACAACTCAATTACTTGCAGTCCAAATTAATTTCTGACTGGAAAGCTAAACTCAGCTATGAGAGTGTTTCGCTCAATGGATATTTGTCTCCTTGATTAGGATCTGAGGATGGGGAACAGCAAGAACGGTATGAATGATTAGTTCTTTCAGTAAATTAGGGACTTTGAACAGCTTTTCGTTCAGATCTGTTCCACCTCAACTCTGCAGGTGTCACTGAAGTTCACCAAGGCCTTGCATTCAGATGGTGCAATCTTTCCACCAACTCCTTAAGCATTCTTCTTCTCCTCACAGATTCCACTGTTACGCTAAGAGCCAATTTTGCAATTACTCTCCCCAAGAAGCCATGTGTAAATGCTCAGTGAAATGCATTAAGGGACAAAATCTGCTAACAAGGTTCTGCTGCTTGTTACTATGGCATATTGCTGCACACACATTCAAGTTACCTTTTGCAGTGATTACAACCGACCCCTGCCAATTGAAACATTGTGAATATGCCACAGATTTTTCCCCGGTCTGAGTTTGACGCCTTGGCAGCTACATATTTTGAAACAGGAATGAGGTGGGCAAGAAAAAGGGCTGATTGTGCTTCCTGCAGTGAGTCACCCACCAGAGATAACCATGCTTGCCAAGGAATTTTGTTCTGAAATAATGATTGATCTTTCTTTAAAAAAATTAGGGAAAATGTAGCATGAGAAGAGAAACATGAGATACTTGTGAAATTACTGAGCTTTATACAGTTTATAGATGTTTAATAGATGTCATTATCTGAGGCTCTGAGTTATTTAGTGCTGTTCTGTGTCCATTTTGTTTATTTAAATTCCCCAGCTGTTGCTAACTACTAGGCATTCTCACAAACTGTTCTACATCAGTGTAATCAGACTCGTCTGTGTAACCATGTATTCATCTTACTTTTTATTTACTCTTACTTTTCTTTCATTTACTAACAAATCCATCTATAACTCTCAAATGTTTCTCCAAGAGGAGGGTGTATGATTTAGGAACCTCATGTTTTCATCGTTGCAGATTATGTGTTAGCATCTCCACATCAGCAGCCATTTCTTTAACAGTGGAGCAGTTGAGTCTGTTACAGTTATGGAGGTAGTTGGAAATGGCAGGGGACCGGTACTGGAAATGTTAACTCTGGAGGGTATGAACTAACGGGAGATGTGGTTGACACCTGTTGGATTTCAAATGATGTGCGATGACTCTGATAATACCTGCAGCAGGACAAACAGAGGCAGGTGTCTAAATTATCAAGGAAACAAAAGTGTGTTTAAGATGTAGAAAGATCAAAGTGCTTTTAATCCAGGATGTAGGTTATTAAGCTATATCAGTTAATGTAACCTCAGACTCAGAGGTAGAACTAAGTGGGGCTTTATTTCACTCTGACTTTGGAACAGAGGATCAGATATTTCCTCTAATCAATCTGCAAAGGGGATCATAGGAGTAAGGGTGCTCCTAGATCAGTAGATCTACATTTCATAGCTGGTGGTGAGTACCGAAGAAGTATAGGGTACTCATGGGCTCCATGACCATAGTCCTGATGCTGACTGGAATGTCAACCTGGCAACTAGGCTTTCTCTCTTGCTGATTTTCATGCCCACATTCGTAGGATGTAGTCATGGAGAAAACGTTGTTGGCTGCCATTCAGCTGCCGTTTGACTGGGAAGGGTCATTTCGAATGGCTGCTACATTTTTTCTTGAAATGATGAGGTAAGGGAGATGCTTTGCCAAGCGAACAAGACAATTTACATTTAAAATAAGAAAAAAAAAATATTGCATGGTCTTATTTCAAGTAGGTATTATGTAATTATCCTATTTTTCAGAGTAGACATACTCATTCCATTGTGGAGCGATATTTTCTCTCCAGTTTCCTAGCATTTTGCTTCAAAGTACGCAGCTCTGCATTAAACCAAGGAGCAAGCTTTCTATTTTTAACGGTTTTCATTTTCAAAGGAGCTGCGTTGTCTAAGGCAATACGCAGAGAACTAGCAACCCCCTCAACAAAATCATCAACCTGTGAAGGGGAATAAGCTAAGCTTTTGCACTCTGCAGCACTGCTCAGTGACACAGAGCAGAGAGAAAGTGAAGCAGATTCTTTAAAATTTATAACTGCACTATCTGATAAAGATCTACTAAAATTGAACCTTCTTTTGGGGGAGGAGAACTCTGTTAAAGTAATCCTGAAGGTTATTAGAAAGTGGTCAGAGAGGACAGGGTTGTGAGGAAATACTGTTATTTCTTCACATTCTATGCCGTATGTCAGCACAAGATCCAAAGTATGAAGATGAGAATGCGTGGGACTATTCACATTTTGAACAAAGCCAATAGTGTCTAAGATAGCATTAAAGGCTGCTCTTAAGCTATCGCCTTCAATGTCAGCATGGATGTTAAAATCTCCCACTATGATGACCCTGTCAGTATTTAATACCAAATCAGAAAGGAACTCTGAAAACTCATCTAAAAATTCAGAGTAAGGACCTGGTGGACGATACAAAGTTACAAAAAGAAGAGGTTTTCTTGTCTTGAAATTTGGATCAGGGAAATTAAGGGTTAAATGTTCAAAAGAGTTGTAGGAATTAATTGTTTTGGGAGTAATCAGTAAGTCAGACTCGAAGATTGTTGCTACTCCTCCTCCTCGCCCAGAACTTCTGGGGATGTGAAAATTTAAATAGCTTGAAGGAGTTGCCTCATTTATGCTCACATAATCCTCTTGCTGCAGCCAGGTTTCTGTAAGGCAAAACAAGTCAATGTGATTATCACAAATCAA